ACACTCATTGACAAACACAATAAAATCACATACATTATAGACATAGCCATTCCAAACACTCACAATGTACAAAACACATGCACTGAAAAAATTAGCAAGTACACAGAACTCGCCCAGGAAATAAGGCATCTGTGGAGGATGGAAAGGATGCTTATAGTACTTGTTGTTCTCTCCTGTACAGGTGTCATACCCCATACACTGCACAAAAGCCTGGGCACATTACAATTGAATAGAAACACATACATCACACTACAGAAGGCCATGATATTGAATATATGTCATATTGTTAGGAAATTCCTGAATAGAGACATCCACACTGACGCACTTATTTAATTTTAGTTTTGGTTTGGTTACTATGCTTTGACTCTGGTTTTGCATAGCCTCCTCCGACCTCTCATCTATTAAAATGGATGTTTGTTTTTATTTGTTTAATATTTTTCTGTTTATTTTATCAAGTTCAGACCAGGAATTCTTTATAGTGGAGTTTTCACTTTTCATCGTAAGGCATCTGGCAACATTGTTTTTTACTTTTTATTTATTTTACTATTTAAAAAACACTAAGGGTCAAAGGTTGATGTTGAATTCATAAATGGACTTTTTATAATACAAATATTGTAATTTTAAAATAAATTGATTAAAAAACACATTTTTTAATTCTCGGGTTTGAGGAGGATAGTATACAGCCACCGTGTCAACAAAGTATAATCCACTAAACCCAACATAATAATAATAATAATATAATTTTAGTATTATTAATTTTTGTAATATAATACATTTTTCTAATTAAATTTTAAAAATATTTCAGCCTGAAATGTATCTGTTTTAAATTTCATAAAATGAATAATGATGAAATTTCACAAAATAAAGAGACAGATACTTCCTTACAATTCTTACCCAGTACTTCAATTGAACCAAGTATAAATGAAAAAAATGAGAATGAAACCTCCAAAGACATTACTTATAATGAAAGTTTTGAAACAGCTTGTTCTAAAAGCTTTTCTGAATTTGGTACAGAAAGGTTAGTAAAATTTATATGCTATTAATTAATGTTTATATTGAATTACATCAGAGTTTTAAATTCTTAAAACCTTAAATTCTTATTCATGATAATTTAAATATCGATACAATTTCTGAGCAAAAGTATGAAATATTTTGTAATTGTGGAAAAATTATTTTGATCCTGAAATAATTAAACTCATGAAAATATTACTGAACTTTTAATACTGTAATTGACAAATATAATAGGCATATTAAAGTATTTACACAAGTATATGCCATAAAAATATTTGCATAAATTACAAAGTTAGATCATTTTAAAAAATAAGAATTGAACAATAGTATGGAATCATAAAAAATATTAAGCAAAAGTATGAAATACTGATGATTAATATTTTGTAGGGCCACCTTTTTCCCTGATTTACAGCAGTAATTCTTTATGGTATTGTAGAAATAAGTTTTATATCTAGTTCTAGATCAATCTCTGGCCATGATTCTTTGACTGCCTTCTTTAATTCTTCTATGGTTGTAGCTCTTTTTTAGACAACATCTTCAGAACATTCGAAAAATTTTCAATAGATGTTAATGTATCTGGACTAGTGATGCCACGAATAGTGATTTTGCCGAATACCGAATACCGAACATTCGGCTACGCTCTTGGCCGAAGCGCCAAATATTCGGCGGCCGAATGTTCGGCAAAATATGTGTACATTTCGCGGGTGATATGTTATGACCTGATACATTGCGGTGGGTGCGGTAGCGACACTGCGGGCACATTTGTTTTATTTGCGAGTAGATCATGTCACAACATGCATTATTTGTTCATTGTTACATCAAATTGCGTTACTAATTATTACATAAAAAATATCACTGTATCACTTTATATGAAAACTGTTCGCCTAGATCGGACGGCAGACCTTTACAAGTGGTGGTCAGCAAACGCAAAACAGTATCCAAGCCTGACAGAATTCGCTAAGATTTATCTATCGTCTCCCGGCAGTAGTGTATATAGTGAGAGGCTATTTTCAGAAGCAGGTATAGTTTATGAGAAAAAGCGCAATCGTTTGCTATCAACAAATGCTGAAAAAATTGTTTTCATTCATTACAACTTACCACTGATAGATTTTAAGTATTAAATGTAATAATTTATGATTAAAATAAATACTTTTTTAAGTAATATGTGCGGTTTTTTTTCATGATTTGGTATTCGGTATTCGGCCGAATACCGAATATTAAAAAAAGTAGCCGAATAGGCCGAATACCGAATAGTAGCCGAATATTCGTGGCATCTCTAATCTGGGCACTACATTAAGAAGGAGGGTAAGAGAATAAGATTACTATTCAAGAAAAGCTAAAACAAAGCTCTATATGGCAATAAAATAAAAGAAATAATTTGAAATGGGCCAAAAGTCATAAAGAAGATTGGCAACAAGTTATGTTCACAAATGAATCAAAAATATGTATTGGCTATGGTATTCATGATGGTATATCAGTATAAAGATCAGATGAAAAATTTCATCTTGACTGTTTAAATTCATCAGGAAAATTTTATAAAAGTATAATGGTGCAAGGATGTATAACTTGCAAAGGGGTTGGTGAGATGGCAATCTTTAATAGTACATTGAGTGCTGATGGTTATTTGGCATTATTACAATCAGTTTGGTTGTTAAAACATTTGAAGACCATTTTGGTGAAGAGGATTTTATCTACCATAATGACAATGCATTATACTTAGAACTAGACAAATTAAGCAATGGTTTTATGAACATAGCATGCAGCATTTAGAATGGCCTGCCAATTCCAGGTATATCTTCCATTGAAAATATTTGGAATGTTCTGAAGAAATCTAAATGGTTCTAGGTCTCTTTTTGATACCATCTAAAAAGAGCTTCAACCATAGAAGAATTAAAGAAGATAGTCAAGGAATTATGGTAGAGGTTGATCCAGAACTAGGAATAAAACTTATTAATACAATACCACAAAGAATAACAGTTGTAATCAGGGCAAAAGGTGGTCCTACAAAATATTAACCATCAGTATTAACCTTTGCTTAACACTTTCAGGTCTGACCTTTTAGGTTCATAAATCTGTGGAGTGACCTTTGTTGACCTTTTTTAAAATCTTGCTTGTTTGAAAACAAATAATTTTGTGGTTTTTATGACTAGTCTGTATTAAAGATCATTTTTTTCTGTTTAATTTGATATTTAATAAATAAATATTTGTTGATACAGTCTTGATTATTCATAATAAAAATATAAGTGTGAGAATGCAAGCTCTTTTGTGAATTTTAAAGCTTCAATAACTTTTTTTTTCATCAAGACAACACCATTCAATATACTCTTAAATACATAAGTATGTATAATTCTATATTTTTTCATCAATCATTATTTTCCTTTTACCTCCAGTTTTTCCTTTCTGAGAGGTTAGACCTCCCAGAAAGGGGAAACTGGAGGAAAAACCGAACAAATGCACACACTTCCTATTTCGTCCGATTTTAACGTTGATAAAACCGATCAGATGACTCGCCAAATGAACAATTATTACTAACGTTGCACTACATACCCTGACTTTAGTCACCTCCAACAATTAATTCTGAGAGTTTGACAGCTGTTATCAATTTTATGAGGTAGACTAAGTAACAATACTGGATAGAAAGAGGTAATAAATTTACAAAAACACTTATGTAAAAACTGTTAACCGGAATGGTTGCATACTAGGGTAGCTAATGTTTTTGAGGTCCCTTGTGGGCTCTTCTTCAGGCTGTTCTGCAAAAAAGAAGTTGGACACTTTTGAACCAATTGTCATTCGAATCATAACACGTGGAAACCTTCCAGGTGATTTAAAATAAAACGAGTTACGTTTAGTGTAAAGAGCATGCGCATCTTATTGATGATGAAATATTTAAATATTATTATGTAACAGGATCTGCCACACTGTTGAAAGAACCATCTCGTCTTTAAAATTAATGCATGTGGTGGTGCTACATCCTGCTCTGAATATTTCCATAGCCTCCAAGATTTTGAGATGTTTCAGGTAGTTGGTCCGCTGTGATGTCCTGTGAAGTCCGCTGTGATGTCCTGATCAGTGGCATATGTTGAGAGAGCTGTTGTCAATTTGTTGTGTAATATGTCTGTCTTATATTCTTTAATTCTTATTACCAATGTATGTTTGGTGGAGCCAATATAAACCATATCTCTGTCAAATCTGTGGTCTCTGAGCGGAATGGTGTATATTCCCGGTAGTCTGATTGGATTAGGAGAATCTTTTCTGTTACGGAGTATTTGGAAAATGGTTTGGCATCTTCTATACACTGTATTGATTTGTCTTCTCTTGGCTATCATAGTGTATAATGATTTTAAATGTGGATTAAAAGTGATGGGGATCATTTCTGTATTTTTTTTTTTTTTTCATTATCTAATGGTCCCTCCATCGGATTGGTGTATGCCTCCTGGCTATTTCTATATCGTCTACATAATCCACGTATAAGGTTGGTATACCCGTGGGCTACTGCTATTTCTTCTACGTGTTTGATTTCCTGAGTTAGTGCATGGAGAGAGGATGAGTGCATAAGAGCTCGCCTAACTAAAGCCCTGAAGGCCGCTACTTTGTACTGAAACGGCTCACAGGATCCTATCGGAATATACATGGAGGTGGTACTAGTTTTACGGTACACCAAACTGTGCATATTCGGCCCTTCAAAATTTGTTGAAACATTAGATTTCTGACAATTAAGATAAACAACACCTGGACGCAAACCGAACTTAGACAGGATTGCATCAGAATTTTCCATGATAGTTTCCCCTCAGGATGTGTATAAAAAGGGATTACACCTGCGCCTTGGGGCGATTGCAGTAGGGAAGACTCCAGGCTGGTAATGATTCAGACCACTGCTCCATGCTCCTGAAGAAAGACTACTCGGAACTTGATTGCCACAGCAAAAGAGGTAATTACTTAGAGAAATTAACACACACACACACACTCTCTCTCTCTCTCTCTGTTATAAGCTAGATTAAGGTAAATTTAACTTAAAGGATTTTGGAACCGATAAAGGTCCAGAACTTAGACGGTCTATTGAAAAAACGAAGTAATCATTGTCGTGACCTAGAATTTTTAAGTATTTTCATCTTTTGTATCTATTCATTTTTGTATTTGCTGTGTATAATTTTTTGTAGTTTATTAAATATGTTATTCTTATGCTTAATTTATGTGACATCCTTGAGTGCAGCTGACACCTTGTTACAACCTCGCTAATCCTTCCACTCGTTTACAACATAAGCCATCCCCTGACAAAGAAGCCGATAAGTGGGGATGAGCTCACAGCTCTACACCCCCTTGGTTCACATAATGTATGTAATATTTTTAGTCTTTATAATTGCACCATTTGAAAAATGCATGGTCAATTCTGATTGGGTAATTGTTTATTTTTATTCTATTTATTTTCTGTCCTTTGACAAAAGTATATGACAATATGTGTAACAAAATTTTAGTTTTTGCTTCATTTATATGCCATTTTGGTAAATATGCAAATTTGCATACCATAAAAAAGTGTAGTAATCAGCAATAATTTGATGATCCCATACTTTTGATCAGGGCTGTATTTGCATTTGATAAAGTATTTTTACATTTTATTTAATATATCCTAACACATATAATAATTAAAATAATCATTTTATACTTGATTAATGTTTTAAGCTACTTTATTCTAATAATTTGAATATGTCTTCCAAAAAACTATAAAATAAGTCAACTAAGTTAGTTTCATAGAATATTCTGATTTAACATAAACAGAAAAATATAATGGATAGAATATAAAACAAAACATTACATGAATCATTTATCAACTATTGAAAAATTTTATTTAACACTTTATTTATTTAAATTTTAATGGCAAAGTTACAGGAACTATGAATTCCATTCTTGTAATCCAAATAACCTATAAAAATACACTAAAACAATAAGAATAATAAACATGCATTGTAATATGTGATAAAAGAACCAAAAAATACCAAAGAATAATCAAGC